TTTTGTTTCCTATCTGCCAGGGGTCTGGACTGTTTTTAAGCTACAGCAATCAACATTAAGATTGTATAAAGTGTAAAGGAAATTACAATTATTACTATTCTTCTTTCTCTCCCCTGGTTGTCTTTACAAACAGTGGCTAATATAGCATCATGTTGGAATCTAGCCCTGCTGAGAATACTTAATGAATTAGTTACTGTTACAAAACACATGGGTCACAAGGATTATAGACAAGCTGTGTGCTGGCATTCAGGATCATAGTCTTCAATCTGATATCTAGATTTCTTTGTACCTTAAACTTCTATATTCTTTTAATCTGTTCTTAGCATGTAATGGTGTTATACTTTTTTGTTAGACACAACTGTAGTCCCAACTAAGTCGAATGCAAGAACTGGTATCACACTGTGCTTTCTTTTTCTGCTTGGTTTGTCTCAGTTGCTATGGCATGGTTTTTTCAGAGAGAATATATAACTATAGCAACAACAACACAAAGTTTGGCTACCTTTCATTGTTCAATGCCTGCATTCTGAGTCTGATCAGTTCTTAATGTTGCCTGAGAAAACTTCAACTCTACAGTGGCCTAAGGACAACCTTGTTCTTGCACTTTAATATAAAGCTCAGCTGTTAAACTATAACCTTCCCTAGGTTACCAAGAACTTTCTTTTTCCCTTGTTTTTTCCAAAGCACAGACTTTTCCACATGGTAACATGCTACCCACATTCTTAATAACTCAGATATTTTCAAAATAAAGGAAGAGAACAATCAAACCCTTACAAACTATTTAACACTACAGCTGAACAGAAAAATCAATACCTGCAAATTTGCCAAGTCACTCTCACAAAATCAAATTCATTTATGCACGTCAGTAAAAATTATGTCCTTTTATCACTGTTGTATAAATACTCAAAGTTGAACGAAAGAGAGATTTATACTAACACATTAAAAATAATCTCAGAAAAATGTCACAAAATATCATTCACATGCTATCATTCCTTGCAGGGCAGTACCACGAAGAAGCCAGGTGAGCTGTGAGCTCAAAAATGCTATATTTCTTTCTGAATGTTGTTGACTGATTTGACTTAGAGCATCCTACCCACAGGCTACTTTTTCTTGCACTAGCCTGGAGCTGGACTAGAAATGAAGTTGCTATATTCAAACTTCCTAAAGCTTTACTACTCCTTTTTGTAGATACTTGCCCCATCCAGTACCTACAATTCAATTCAGTTTAACCATGACACTTGAACAAATATTTCTGTTCAAACAGCTGAGTGTATGAAACAGGCAATTAAAAAAAAAAAGCTGTGGAAAAAGATATATAACCAATCTAAAAAAAATAATCCAATAATGTTGCTTCTAGTCCTTCAATAACCTTTTAAAGCTGCTATTTCAATTGCATAAACCTCAGGTTACAAAAAAATGAAACAAGATATATAGAGAAATCTCACATATGCAGGTCCACCTGATAAGAAGCTAAGTTAGTCTGAAGAAAAATATTTGAAGTTCCATTATTAAAATCTCAATTCTGCTATTATCACTCTCTCCAAATGAACTCTTTATTTAAGAGGCTATGGAGATCACTTGCTTTATGTCAATTTATATCAGCTGGACAACGACTATTATATTAGAATCCACACAAAGTCACCTGTGAGCTTGTACTTAACATTATGCATTCAAATGGTCTCATTAAAAGAAGCAGGATTACCCACCTGAGAAAAGCTTGGTACAAAAATAGTGCTTGGCAAACTGAAACTTGAGGTAAAAAGCAACAAAGTTCAAAGAAACAAAACCCCAAAAATTCTAATACCATAAGTATCGATTTGAAGAAATACATTTTAAGTCATGTGTATTCATATACTGCTATTCTTAACCCAATTTCCTGTTTCAGTAAAGAAATTATCATGTATAGTTCCTTAAATTTATTTCTGCTATTTGCAAGTTTCATCTATTCTTATTTCTGCTATTTGCAAGTTTCATCTATTCTTTTCATTGCATTTTTCTACTGGACCACAAGACAATGACTTAGGAAACCAATGGACAACTGAGACAGTTAGGTTGAGACAGAACTTAAGGTGTTGCCACTTACAGCTTTTGACCTGCACTTTCATCAGAAATGAGTAAAACAGTGTATATCCAGGCTCCAGAACTCTATTATTGACAGCAGGCTTTGGTATCATTGCAGGGTGTGAACTGCAATGGGTGGGGAGCACAGACGCTGTCTCTTCTCATACACCATCTTTCTGAGGGAGGCTTTTCATTTCACGTGTGCATCTGCCAGGGCGTAAAGACCTCTGAACCATCCCACCTATTTGTACTGAATAAAAATTCCTCATAGCTTACTGTTGTGCACCAAGACCAGCTAACTTTACTTTAACTCTGTGATAACCTGATAACACTTCCAGGTCTAGCCCAGAAAGACCATATAAATATCCAGCTTGGACACCTCTGCATTCCAATGTTCATTCTGTGATACTGATATACAGTGCATCTAATTTGCTTTTATGAAAATTCTTTTGGTTTCAGCTTTTTCAACATGTTGAAAGATATCCATTTATTTCTTGGGAGGGTTTTTTGTTGTGGTTCTACTGTTTTGGGCGTGTATGTATGTCAGTTTTGCAGATAGTTCTTAACCACCTTCACAGAGTTCATCTCAGTCCCCCCATGCCCTAGAAGACAGTTTGGATTCATGGCAACACACTTCTTCAAGGTTTGACAGTAACAGGATGAGGAAGTTCACATATAGTAAAACAGCTGCAAACGTACACTGGAGTCAGGAATCAATAACTACAGGATGGATCATAGCAAGCATGTGACAAACAGCTCTAGAATTTGTGCTTTCATGTGAACATGAAATCCAACCCATTTGCTTTCATACCACCGCTACTGTCATAAACTTGTTTTCAGCATTCCATAACACCCAAATTGTTTTCTGTCAATGATGCTCTCTCCTAAATCCACCGCTTGCTGTGGCATTTACTGGAGTAAACACAAAAGATGTGCCCTGATGCACACTGAAGTCTCAGTAAAGACAGGAAACTGCAATTTAGGGACTAACGTCCAAAGTACAGGCCAGAATGAAGTGTCAGTATTTAGCAGCTAACACCGTAGCAATAGTTGCACATATATAATCTCATTAACAATAAAAATCATTTTATTCAATATAATCTTCAAAGCACTGGTTAGATATCTTGGCCAACTACAAAGCACAAACACAATTTTGTCAAACTCAGCCCAAATTCTACACAGTTCCCCAAATCTGTACTGCTGTAAGATGACAAGTCATGGCTTTGCACACTTTTTGAGTAACAGCTTTTGGCATATTAACAGGCTGAAGGAAGAAGCTGATATTTCTGTTCATGTACTTGTGAGCTGTCTTACCTAAAGTGGTTTATTTTTGTTGAAGTCTAGTCTTTCATTTCTCTAGTGACCAGTCTTAATCAGATAATGTTTGCTGCTTCCAAAACATGTTCCTTCTATTGTGAAGAGAGCAGAGAAGAATACAGTGGCCAGCCAGCAGCAAATTATGAATGGGAGCCTTCTGACCAGAAGGTGATCTCCCATTGCATTGACTTTACATGGAAAGGTTTTGGTAGCAGGAGGGCTACAGGGTGGATTCTGTGAGAAGCTGCCAGAAGCTTCCCACGTGTCCCACAGAGCCAATGCAGCCAGCTCCAAAATGGACTAAGTCTATCAGTGATGGGGTAGTGCCTCTGGGATAACAGAGGCGGGGGGAATCTGCACAGCAGCAGTCAGAAGAGAGGAGTGAGAATATGTGAGAGAAGGGGAAGAGTGTGAGGAGTCTTCTCTTAAGGAGAAAGGAGCAGCAGAGACAACGTTTGATGAACTGACCATGACCCCTATTTCCCATCACCTTGTGCTACTCAGGGGAGGAGGCAGAGAAAACCGTGAGTAAAGTTAAGCCTGGGAAGTGGAGGGAAGGTGCTTTTAAGATTTGTTTTTATTTCTCATTATCCTACTCTGATTTGATTGGTAATAAATTAAATTAATTTTCTCCCAAATCAAGTCTATTTTGCCAATGACAGTAATTACTGAGTGATCTCTCCCTGCCCTTATCTTGACATATGAGCCTTTTGTTACATTTCCTCTTTTCTGTCCAGCTGAGGACAGGAGTGATACAGTGGCTTTGGTGGCCAGACAGGGTCAACCCACCACACCCATCATCATTGCATTGCATTTAATAGTCCAATCTTCCTGGCATATTCCTCAAACAGTATTTAATAGGGTCTTGAGCTAACTCTGCTCTTCTCCTGTGTTCATATTTATTAAGTTCATAGTGGTTCTGCTACTGTTCACTCCCCTGTTCTCTCTCTTGGCCAGAAATAAGCTGGAAATAGAAATACCTACTGAATATTTAAAAATTCAAAGGTTATCAGGGCTCTCACAGAATTTAAGCTCCAGGACAAACAGAAAACGAATGGTTCCGGGATCAGCTCCCAGCTGAAAAAAAGAGGTCAATCCAACCCTAAGTGGATGTGAAATTGGGTTTGATTGTTTCACTGAAGAGGGGGACCTCCTCATTGAAGTATAAGCTCCTTTCATAAAAAGACTCTTAATTCACTGACTAAGGGCAGCCCTCCAATCTCCTGTACCTAGGAGAATTAATCTCATAAATATTACAGAGCAAGAAATAGTTCTATGTTTTGAATGTGCACTGATTAGGAGAGAGGAAAATAGAGGTACTGAAAAATGACCTTTAGGTCACAGAACTAACATTCACTCTGTGTGCATACATATATATATATGTTCCCAGACAACCAAAACCAACTGAAAACGGGAACTGGTAAAAAAGACAGATACATATACATTATTTAAACCTAAAATGATACTGCAAACTATTAAAATTTGAAACTGAATTTTAAAATGAAGGAAAAAATTATCTTCTGCTTTCTTCTAAAAGTGAATTCTATTACCTGGATCAAAACAGACACTGTATAATGACAAAACTTATGTAAAAATCAGTATTCCAGTGAAAAATCATGTGGTACCTGATGGGCCGATTTTCTTTACTGTCAAAGAGTGAGAAGATTACTTCCAGTTCCTCTCCCAGATTGGAGCACATCAGACTCTTCATTTGAACAAAGAGATGGTGGCTGCTAGCTTGCACTGGTGTGTCTTTTTTTCGATGACGATGTTCCATCTAAAAGTACCCCAAACACAGCAGCCAGTTTGAATTAACAGTCAAAATCTCAAAACAAAAAGACATAAAAACTGTAATACTGAACTACTTTCTTAATCAGTATTGACTTGTAATACTTTTACTTTATTGTTTGTTTGTTTTTTGTATCTGAGAAGGAGAACACAAGGAAGTGACTTTCCCGGTGTTGCACTGCATCATCATTATCTCTAAGAGAAAATCAGTAACCTGTAGTAGTTTACCTTTTTTCTCTGAAAATGCTAAGCCACTTTAAAGCTTTGTGCTTTATCAAGACAGTATTTCACAGCTGGTTTAAATAGTTCATGATCTGATATTCTAGTATCCAAACACACAAAAAATACTTCTGCAGAAGACTAAACACCAGTATTTTAAATTTGAAAAAAAAAAAAAAAAAAAATCAGTCCTTGGCAGACTGCTATATTGAAGCTCCTAAATTATCTTGTTTTGACATCACAGTTTATACTTTCACTATTTTAATCACCCATTAAGAGTATGACAATATTAAATTGAACTATTTCTTTCTTACACTGTACTAAAAATAATTTTGAACAGCACTGTTTCTAAGCTACTTATCTTCAAACTGAGGTTATCATGGGCTTCCCCCCCCCTCTTTATTTTTGAAAGTGCACTCCATGAGTTCCATTACTGGTTTCCTCAGTTATTCTTCTTCTCTATGTTTCTTCTTATGATTAATGGTTCCTCACTGTATTTCATCTAGTGCTTCAACAGGATTCCATACGATTACATATGGCTTTGAAACTGCTCAGAGATATACTGATTCTAGCATTAAGAAATTACTGTCAGGCTTGACATGATAAGTTATCAACACAAGTAGTTAAAAATTATAAAGAATATAATTTCAGCTCCATACAAAATTACAGCATTATATTTTTTGCTTTATTCTATATTTAAATATAAAAGGTACAAATAAAATTTAGTTAGCCTGAAGCAAGTAAGGCTCAGAACAGCTGCAGCACTTAAACAAGAGCCAAAGCCCACATAAATGAATTGGTAAGTTTTCTTAGACCTCACTGGAGATTAAATCAGAATAAGAAATATCAGTGCTGGTTTTAGTAAATGAAGATGGGCTTTTATACCCAAAGGAGATCTTTCTATGCAGTTTAACTGCTATTTACATTAATATATTAGAAAAGACCAATAGCCCAGTATGATTAATTGTGACAATACTTCTACCATAAGATTATATTTCCATAAGTCTTATCTAACAGGACTCATGGGCAAAATAAAACTCTAATGAAAAAGAGTCTCATAAGCTTTTATTGATGATTAAATTCACGTTAACAATCATAATTTTAATGATAACTCAGAACACAAAACTTTTAACAAATAACATAAAATAAGCATGTGTGTACATACAGAATTGGTATCATGGAATCAGCTAGGTTGGAAAAGTCCAACCTTTACCACAGGACCAAGTCCAACATTAAACGATGTCACTAAGGGCATTATCCAATTTTTTTTTTTTTTTTTAACACTTCCAGGGACAGTGATTTTACCACTTCCCTGGCCAGCCTGTTCCAATGCCTGAGCATCCTTTCAGTGAAGAAATTTTTCCTGATTTCCAACCTAAACCTCCCCTGGCACAACATGAGGCCATTTCCGCTTCTCTTATTGCTTGTAACTTGGGAGAAGAGACCAACCCACACCTCACTACAGCTTCCTTTCAGGTAGTCATAGAAAGCGATAAGGTCCACCCTAAGCCTTCTTTTCTCCAGACTAAACAACCCCAGCTCCCTCAGCCATGCCTCATGAGACTTGCGTTCCAGGACCTTCAATAGCTTCACTGCCCTTCTATAAAACCAAAGCACCTCATACAGATACAGATATGACATAACTGTTCAAAAGTTAACTTCTCTCCTCATAGTAAAACTCATTGCACTATGAAATACCAGTTTATTTGATTTAAAAAAAGTACTTTTGAGTAAGTAGAAGAAAGCTGCCACCAAAAGAGAAGCATGAAATTTCATAGCAAATGTACTGAGTACTACAATCACATACCAGCCTGTAAAGCTCCGTAATGCTGATCTCTTCAGGATCCACCATAGCATACTCTTTTCTTGGAACTAAGTCGAGTCCCAGTTGTCTGTTTGAGAAATGGAATAACAGTAAGTAGTTTCTACATATAAAGGAAACAAATTAACCTGTTTCTTCTACTTACATTTAACAGAAACATTCCAACAAATAATATATACATTAATTGGCACTCTACAGCTGGGTTTGGGTGTTTTGGCTATTCACCATTCACAGATGATTCCTCCACTTTCTTCACTTTGTAACATTAGTAGAATATGTTTTTCCAGAATTTTTAAATGTTTCATACTGTGGACAATGTATAATGGATATTGTCCTTTGTACTACTGTGGACGTTGCACAATGTGAATTGCACTAGTATTGTCAATTTGAATGACAACAGCAGAAAAGAAGGTAGAAAGAAAATCCAAAACATTAACTTATTTTTAATTCAGACTGGATGACATCAAAGCTGCCTGGCTGTACCCCATGAACACAATAATGAAATGGACTTGAATCATTAGCAATAATACTTATTTTCAGCAGAGCAGCAAGCAATAAAGATTAAGAACACACACGTGGCAGTTGTGGAATTTAGAAAAACATGAGAGATTGAATGTTTTTCAAAAATATGTTTTTAAAGAATAGGAACTGAGCACTTCCAAAACCATCACAATTCCATTCTGTTGGCACAAAATTCTAAGCAGCAGTTAACCACAGCTCTTCCCCAGTGTTAGGTATTTAGACTTTCAGGTAGCAGTAGTTGCAGAAACCCCTGAAATTCAGTTCATTCTATTACTGAATAGTGCAGCATTTAGTCAGAGTTTAACTGAAAAAAAAAAAAAAAACAAATATAGGCTAAGGAAAAGACTTTGGAAACAGCTCCTAAATGCCAAAAGTCATTTTAACCTTTTTCTTGCCTTTTTTTTTTTAAATAAGATAATACAATTTGCCTTAGCTCTTATTCACATTCCAATAAAAGAAAGATGTAGATCATAGTAGCAAGATACATGTTAGAGATGCCCAATTAGGAAGCAATGACAGCCAATATGATTTCAGCTAAGACAACAAGAGTTATGCAGACTGCATCACACTGGAATCTGGCCAGGTGTGTTTTAAAAAAAAAATGGAAAAGGATCCTGTAGATATTCCAATGCAATTCTCTTGTAGACAGTACCACTGCTATGTAAAATAACTTGACGAAAAAAGGCAAAATAAGCTGGCAAGTCAGTTTTCTGTTAAAACACAGTGGGCAGAAAAACAATGAAGGAGAAAGTCCATTAAAAAATACCAGCAAAGTAACACCTCTCAGAAACTTGCTCATTATTTCAACATTCTACAATGAGCCTAAAGCTGTGGCATTATAATTAGATTACACTATTTTCATTTATTACTATATTTACTCACTCATTGCCCCAGTCCAGACGAGCAGTGATATGTCGCTTGACATCCTTCATTCGGTCATGGGTGAGATGGCCAACGAGGACCTGCCTCCGCAGGTCTAGGATTTCATTCATTATATGCCACAGTCGGTGAAAGAGATCCCCCTCATTCCTCTGTGAGATAAAAATATAATTGCCTTCACATTACCTGTATAAGCTGACAATCCTAATGAACACAGATATGGAGGAGAAATTAAGAAAGCTCACTACTAATACACCTACTTGGACTTCTTTCTCCCCATCATACTGTGACCATTTCACCTGCATGCATGTGTTTGTGCATGTAGAATTGTTTCAGAGCTTACCTCAGACCCTGTCTTTGCACCACACTCATTGCAAAATTTCATACCAAGACCTTATGCCTCATGTTAACAGTCTAATTTATGAGATAGGTATGACAAAAAATGCAACAAAAAAGTTTCATTCTGTAGCACTTTTTTATTCCAAGAGTGTGTTCATTCTGTGCTGCTGTCTCATCCAAACTGAACATGTGCTCACGTAATTCAAGATTAGTTGAACTCAAACACATGTGGAGATGAAAAGGCAATAGTTCCTAGCGTTCAAACTCTGAAACACAGGGTGTTAATGTTCTTTTTAACTTTTTATTGTATGCATCTAATAGTACACACTATTAACCATAATAAATAGTATATATAGCCAGAATCTTGTCCAGACAGTTCTTCATCTAACTGTGAAGTAGGAGTAATTATGTGAATACGACTGCTTTTTAAACCACATCCTGCTACTCTAAGTATATAACAGTTAGGGGGATAAACAATTTCCCATAACAGTTTCTTCCCAAACAGAAATTCTTTTAACTCATCCTTCACCAATTCTAAGTAGCTTTACCTCATACAGCTTTTCTAAGAAACTTTAGCTTGAGGAAATTATTGCAACCTCCATTTAAGTGATACATCACAAAAAGTTGAAAAAACATTCTTATTCAGATTTGTTCTGCTAATTCTAGACAAAAAATACTAAGCCCATTTCCCTTTTCCTTCTTCCTATGAACAAATGGCATTAAAACAAAATTCAGCTTCTTCTGGTGCATAATTGCTATTAAAAGCTGAATTCACTTAAAAGCACCATTACTGTCTGTCAATAATTTTTATACTCCAAGGGCTCTCACAAACTGCTGCTTGATAAATCTGCTCTTTTTATTTCACATTCATTCACTTCATAAGCTCGCTAAAATGAGTATTAATTTACTGTGTCTTGGCTTTCTTTCTGGAAAAAAAAAAAAAAAGCCAGCGTATTTTGATCATACAATAACAATAGTAGTGAGGAAAAAATGCCGAAAAAAGAAACAACTTCAGTAAAAACAATAGGAATATATGAACTTTGTAAGGAAAAAGGGAAAAGAAGGTCATACAAATCACCTTTGAATTAGAAGCAAAAGACAAAAAAAAGACTTTAGAGGAATGTTACAGAGGCACAGGCTAAAGTATGGTTTCAGAGTTTCCATCAGGTGTCTAACCTTCTCACAATTTAAGCCATAATTACCAGCTCAGCAATGAATTAAGATGAGGGGTTGGAGAATATGTAGAACCAAATGAACAGGTTTTGATTACATTTTATGTGTGCGCATGCTGCCAAGTCCAAACCATGGCTTCGTTGTAATGTAGTAGATTAGAAGGTCAAATGTTAAAAACAGTAGACAATCATGATGCAAATCACAATTTAAAACTAAGATATTTTAGTTAGACCTTTAAAGACAACTTTACAGTCAGTAAAAAAAAAATAAACCAAACAAAAAAACAGCTCAGTTAACAGAGGAAGTAGAAGTAGGCACAGAAAAAGGAAATTATAGCAATTGTTATGTTTTAGATTATGATGTAGAAAAAAAAATTAAATTTAAAAGATGCAGAACAGTCAGCAAAGACTGAATTTCAGTCAGAATAAAGAGAAAGATTTAACGTGTTTCTTTCCATGTTTTGTAAGTACACAAAAAATTATGGTGGTAGCCAATTAAGCAAAGGAAATGGTAGGATTTCTTACAGTGAAGAAATAAGTCACTGGTCTGAAACCTCTCCTAAGGATGGCAGACTGCAGTGTGTTCATGGGCGACATGGCAGTGAAAAGCAGCCTAGGGAGCTTGTATCCATTTGCTAATCAAGAATCGCCCCTTGTGGAGACAGTGCTCTCACGGGAGAATGCATAATTAGTACATAAACTCTAAATAATCCTGAAAGATACAGCAAGGCCATGAGAGGCCCGAAGAAGCTTAAGCAAGCAAGATAAGAAGCTGGAATTCACCAAGTTATGAGAACTGTGGACTGTTGGCAAGCTTTCAAGGTCAAGTTCTCACACCTGTGCTTAACCAATTATATATTAGTCACTAAGGGTCTTCAAGCCATGTATCCAATTATAATATGCCAAATCACTGTAAATGCATGTAAGAAATAGTATATAAGGAGTTAAGGCTTTGTAATAAATTTGGCAATCGCTTGATCACATTGATCGTCTCTGCATTGTCCATGACTCCCGGGTCAACAACCCCTCAGTCTCCCTCGACAATGAGGACTCAACTAACTAAACTAGATCATCTAAACAACAGTTGGTATTAAATCAAAGTAATATTATTCAGGGTACTTGCCACATAGAGTTGTTTCCACATCGTTCCCCAGTCTCTAAGAGTTGATGTCATTTCTGTAATAACAGAATCTTCTGTTGGAATAACCATTTCAAATTGTCTGTAACATTCAGAAGAACACATGACATTACGCAAGTATTACAAATCCTGTTACTAATATAAAGACTTCTGCCCTGCCAAATGTGATGTCTAACAGCCTACATGGGTGATCCATCAGACTGTGACACTTCATTAGTGTATTTCATTTAATCCCCATGGAAAACTCTTGGGTGAAAATAATTTAATCCCCACAGAAAGTCTTAGTCCTAGAAAAGTCAAGGTGGGATTTTTTCTACATGATAAGCATGTCAAATACTTTCACAGCAGAGTAATCCCACAGTTTCTGAAGGGATTTTGCCACTTTAGTTTAGACTCCAAACCAGTGACTGCTCTGTTTATAGAAATAAGACAGAAAATGCTGTTTTTTCAACCGAAAGAGGGCATAAAATCTCAAAAGTAAACTAGTACAGTGCGAGTCCTTGCTTATTAGATCCTGACCAAGAAAAAGAATGTGTTGGCTTGGTCAAGACCAAACTCTCCACCACACCATCATCTTACATACGGTCACCACTGCCGCTTTGTTCTCACACACACTACATTTGAAAGGTTTGAATTCAGGACTGGATTACTTTTTTCATTATATCATTTCTCTCTAACCAAGTTAGGATAACAAGGTGAGAGCCCCTGTCCACAATGCACATGGCCTGAAGGGGAAATATACACAAGGAAGAAAAGAGAGGCAACAAAGGCTGAACTCCCTGCAAGTACCATTGTGGTGTCTGCTACCAAATATTTATCCATCTTTATGTTTTGTTTTATTGTGATGTTTTACAACAATTTTATTTCACTGAACCTTCAGTTGTATCTACAACCACTTTCAAAGGAGAAGCTACCCTAGTGCATGACAAACCACATGTGGCTTGAACTCCATAGCAGACAACAGTGTGTTTAACAGTAAGAGGATAAGCCCTTTTATTTTTAACATGATTCCAGTTTTCATGATTATTTTTGCTCATTATGAATAATGGACCTTCTTCTCATTCATTCATGCTCCCAAAGTAAAGCTCACCTACAGCTGATGTTTAGGCATCCAACTATTATGATGAGAAATGTCTTTACCTAAATAGGTTTCAAACTGTTATATATCAGTTCTCAATGAATAAATCTAAATAAATAATACAATGTGAATACTCCCAAATTAAGTAAAACTTCAGAAAAAACTGTGTCGAACTAAGATCACTGAGAAATTAAAAGAAAAAAAAAGCAATACTCTCACGGCAAGCGTTACATCTTAAAAAAAAAAAAAATCTAAGCCAAAAACCAGTGTTTCTTTTAGTCAGAACATTTGAGTTCTAAAAAATTTTAAACTAATTTTAGCAAATTGTTCTGGTTTCTTATTAACTCCTCCAGAAATGAAAAGAGATCAGTTGTTGTCAAAAATAACTACTGTCTCTCCATCACCTGAAGGAAAGAAATGAAGGAAAAAATATCTCCAATTACAGTGCTAGTGAAATCTTCGGCCCTTGAACTTTAATGCTATCTTACTGTATCTGTGTGCCATGGAACAGCTGCTATCCTCTAAGAAAACAACCAGTCTTAAACAGCAGGTTAATAGCCAGCTTCTGGACAGAATGACTTTTTCTAATCGAGGCAATACTGTTGTCATGGTTTAACCTTTTTCAAGCAAAACTTACCAACAGGAAGTGAAAACATGTAATTGTTTTCTCTGTCCTTTAGACAATACAGGCTGATAGTCCCAACTGTGCTCCAGGTCTTTTCAAAATACCTTGCTCCAACCTTATAATCATGGAGGAGTATCAGGTTAGCTAAGGACAAACATTTTAAGTCCTGTGGCAGTAAGCTGAAGTTAAGATATTAAATAACAAAATCATTACCTTATAAGCAAAAGACTTTTTGTTCAAGTAACTGAGCACGTTTAAATATTTGAATCAGAACACTTCACTTACCCTTTGTTCTTAACACAGGCGTTTTTCAAGTGAATGTAATTGGATGGAAATATGCCCTGAAAAATAAAACAATTTATGTAAAAAAACAGAAAAACAAAAAAACCCCTCTCCCCTTACATGAGTTGAGTACCATTTAGTACTATTTAATATGCAAATGCATGCTGAATTTAAAGTCCTCCAAATAATTACCAAAAAACTTGCAAAAGAGAGTGAGATACATAGTCAGCATAGATCTAATGGAAACTAAAATGCCATATTCAGTAGAGTTTAAATCCTTCAACACTTCAGAAAATTAGAAGATAAACAGGTGTAGAACATGTAGAAGACTGCTTAAGAGCTCACTTATGCTGGGTACTCTTATTAATTATTCCAACCCTGATAAGAAACGGATGAACTGGGCGGGGGGGGGGGGTAATATCTAAACAAAAACATCCTAAAAATAATATCTTCAGATAATGATTTCAAAATGAAGCAAAAAATTACAAAGTTCAATAAAAATAAAGTTTTATTTGGTGGTTATTATGCTCTGCAGCGCACAGGAAAGCTATGGTAGATCCCTACCAAAGAACCTTTTCTAGTTACTTAAGCTCCCTCCACTCTTCTTTTGAACAAGCAGCAATCCTGCCCCAGTTCTGCAGCTCTTACAGCACAGTAACCTGCATAAATCAGAACAATATACAAAATGAAGAAACTCAACTTCAAGCTTCTGGCTGAGAACGTAACATGCTACAGCTTGTTACATAATGCAGCAAGGGAATACGTATATAGGTTCTCTTTACAATAAGCACAGCTGCGTACAGCTTTCCTTTGTGATGATGGTGACCCATTTTCTTTTAACACAGACATTAGAGCCTTGACCAAAACGCATCTACTATGGAGAGGCAATTGCTCCCACTTGTCTGTAATGTAAAGTAGTTCTGGAGAGCATCTCCCAAGGACAGTAAGATGTACAGCCTTGCACTTGTAACAGCGTGCCAGAAAACAGGATGGCTGCATATGCATGCTTACTGCGGACCAGCTGCCACGGAATGTTTCTTTGAGTGTCAAAGCTGGCAGAATAACAAGGGAAGAATCTTGACAGAGCAATACCAATAACAAGTGGAGTTACAAGGTGCTCTTACTATTTTACTTTCAAAGAGACTGCCTTCAAAAATCCCATTCAGAAAGCTGTTTGCATTCACACTAGGAAAGCAGAAAATACATATCTCATTTCTTCACACATCAAGTCATGTTTAGAAAACCTGTTCATAACTTCTATCAACACATTTGACAGACCACAAAGCAAGACTGACAGCAAGCATGTGTTAAGAATTGCAACAAAAGACATAGAAGAAGCAATAACAAAATCCTAACTGCTCATGTCTTATAAATCAAATTGCAATATATATCAATGAAGTCAAAGTAGTAAACATCACATTGGACTCTGGCTAAATTTATTTATTCACATTGACCTTCTATATAAAGCAAAGGGAATTTATGTGAGCAGACACTGCACGCCTAGACACAAATGGTCAATGACTTATGATAAGAGCGCCTAGAAACTTTTGAAATTAATGTATCTGTGCCCTATTCTGCAGCTGAAGAGGCTTGGAAATGAATAGAGGGGAAAAAATAGCGAAGCTTACAATGGAGGTTAAAGAAGGAACAGAATGGCTTTAATAAGACTAAAAACTCTAGTGCTGTGTTGCTGAAAAAAAAAAAAAAGAGGAAATCTTAAAATGATTTCCCATGTAAAAACCACAATCTTTACAGTCACAAAGGCAAGTTGACAGGATAGATTAAGAAAACAGAAAGACAAATAAGATACATAAAGCTTAGACATTAAACATGAACAAATGCTGAAATATGAATTTCCTAGTATTTCATGTCTGAATGCAGAAAAAAAAATCAGTGAAGTCTGGTTTAGAGTACTATCAGCTATACTACTGTGGAAATTAAAGACTACACATCAAAGAAAAATAAAATGAACCATGCATTTTATATGACAATACACAGCTTATATTCGATTGATAGTCTGCACGTGGCTCCTATGAATTAGCTGCATTCACTGACTGCTCTAAATTAATTCATAACATCAAGAAAAATAGGCAGAGTCTAGTCAACTTTTTCAGCAGCATTTACAATTTGTATTCTCAGTAGTCTTTTCCCTTCAACTTATCTTCCTCTGAGTTCGCAATCTAAAAATCGGAAATGAAAGGAAATTCAGCAGAGCCTCATTCTAACACATAGGAGCATTTCAGAAGTGTAATCCATGTCAAAATCTAATTAAAGCACTATCAATAATACTTAACACTAAGCTCTACTTTTCCTCTAGAGTAAATATAATAAACTGACATGGAGACTACAAACTTTTAAAAAGTAAATAAACGCTGTTGCCAAAGAATGTAAAACTGTAATTGACCTTTACCTTAACATTGGGGTTTTTTAAGGCAAATCCTCTGTACCATCCTGTGAAGAAAGAACATTTTGTTTTGTAAACTATGTAAGTCTTTTCCATATGTAAACCAGATTTCATCTTTCCCTTTTGGACAGATATGATAACTACATGATGCTAACAGACTGAACTAATTTAAAAGGTTTTTCATAAAATGAAAAATATTTTGCTTAAACCAGCTCCCATTCAGAGGACAATTCACACAATTTCAGATATTACTCTTTAACTGTGTGTCCCTTAGGTAATGTATTAAGGAGGCAGATTATGAAAAATAAGCAACTTTATTTCTCTTACACTGGATAATGAACATCTGCTAAAATCATATTAGCATTCTACTCACATTAGTCCCTGCCCATGGCAGGCATGTTGGAACCAGATGATCTTAAAGGTCCCTTCCAACCCAAGCCATTCTATGATTCTATTCTCTGCCTCAACACAGAGGCTGAAGAGAACGTTTATTCACTTCAAAAATGTGCTACTTGAAGAAAATGAATGGTAATGGAGTTCAAATCAACACTATATGAAACTTTGTTATCATTGAAATTCCAACCTGGTGAACTCACCATCACATTTCTCTAATATTTGAACAGTGTCTCCAATCTCCAGTGATAGGCCATGTGGGACTGTCCCTCGAAAACCAGCTATTACTGAAAAAGATAATAAGTTTCAATTAGTTACAACATTAAAATACAAATATTCCTCTTGCTAACAAAAACAGTATACTAACAGGGGAAGTTAAGTGCTTCCCTTTAAGAACAAACAGGCGTCCTAAAATTTCATAAGCTGTAGAAAGAACCAGAGGCTAAGCCACTTCTATGAGCGGAAAATTTAAAATACAGGACTTGGAAAAAACCTTCAAACACTTAGAGACCTACTATACATGAATGGAAAATTTGTACTGTGGAACTCTATTAGACAGGCCATAACTACCCTGAAGGACAGAAACTGCTTTATTCCAAATGCTCACATTAACACATACGAGACCTCAGAATTTTGCAAGCTGAAAGTGATAACGTTTTTGTTTCCATCTATACCACACACATGCCACAAAAGGAAAACCTTATTTCACATTTGCTTAATGGATGCTATAGACCCAACACTCCCCATAATTCCAAGTGAAGGGAAATTGCTAGGGAGTGGAGACCACTAAAGCATGCTGTTCACTAAAATATGTTTTGTGCGCATGCTGTCTCCCCTGCAGCCTCCTTGAAGCCAGTGAAGGGGAGGTCATGAGCTCAGGCTGGGACAAGAGTAACAGAAACGGGCTTCCCTTGCTGGAGATAAAACATGCCTCAGAAGCAGAATGTCTGCCAGGACACCGATGTTCCCAAATACTTACAGTAAAAATTTAACTCATATTGCTGGTGCTAAAAAGTTCACTCAGAATCAAACATAATATGCAAAAGACTCAAAATACTTATTCCTGCAAACACTAAAAATCCACTAACATGCTAAATAGCAATTCAGCTATTCAATCCTATGCTTACCGTATCTGAAATTCTGAATTAAAATATTGCCTAATTCAGGCCACGAGACAGCAATACTGATTTTAATTCTCTGTACTGTAATATTCTTTTGGAGCTTAATTTAGAAGTTGAAGACAAAAATGGCCTTCATAAAGTGTTTTAGAAACGGAGTTCAAATATCAACACGGCTGTTAATTAGTGGCCTAACAGCAGTCTTGCTGCTATCAAATAATCACAGAATGGTTTGGGCTGGAAAGGACCTTAAGATCATCTAGTCCCAGCCCCCTGTCATGGGCAGTGATGCCTAACACTAGACCATGTCACCCAAGGCTTTGTGCAACCTGGACTTGAACACCGCCAGGGATGAAGTATTTATCACATCTTTGCGCAACCTGTTCCAGTGCCTCCACCACCCTCATATCTAACCTGAACTTCTCCTGTTTAAGTTTGAACCCATTACCCCTTGACCTATGGCTACAGTCTCTGATAAAGTGTCCCTCTCTGGCATCCTCGTTGGCTCCCTTCAGATACTGGAAGGCTGCTATGAGGTCTCCACGCAGCCTTCTCTTCTCCAGGCTGAACAGCCTCAACTTTCTCAGCCTGTCTTCATACGGGAGGTTCTCCAGCCCCCTGGTCATCATCATGGCCCTCCTCTGGACTTGTTCCAACAGCTCCATGTCCTTCTTACATTGAGGACACCAGAACTGTACACAATACTCTAAGTGAGGTCTCACAAGAGCAGAGTAGAGGGGCAGGATCACCTGCCTGGACCTGCTGGTCACACTCCTTTTGATGCAGCCCAGGATACGGTTGGCTTTCTGGGCTGTGGGAACACACTGAACCCGGCTCATGTTCATTTTCTCATCGACCAACACCCCCAAGTCCTTCTCAGCAGGACTGCTCTGAATCTCTTCTCTGCCCAACCTGCATCTGTGCCTGGTATTGCTCCAGCCATGATATCTACTCATCCAGACAGGAAAACCCAAATCTCACAGCAATGTAAAAACACACCAACTAGGAGGTGTAAGAACAAATCTTCACATGTAAAAGCCGAAAGGAAACCCCATGGGTACAGATACGTTTACAAAGTAACTGTTCTTCCATCAAAGCACCTGCAAGATTTTGTGTCACAACAATCCATTTTGATGGCTTTTGCCTGCTGTCAGCTCAAACATAATATAACCTGTCACCCACTGCCTGTGTTTGTCACATTATTCATCAAAGGCAGGAGGAAAGATTAGCTGTCAGCACCCACGAAAACTGAAAATTCATTTGTGAAACTTTGCCAGAAAGTTCCAGATTCTAGGAGTAAGCAAACAGAATACGATTTATACTACAGGAGGGCATGCATAAAATATATGAAAAGCATTTTTGCCAAATCTTTATTCTGAATCTGAAGGCCTCAAAACTCACTGAATTCAATCATCACTGTGCCTTACCCATGGCCTGTATTTATGCTTTTGAATAAAGCCTGTGAGATTATGTATCTGGTTAGTCCTCAAGAGTATGCTATGTGTGACCAGTATTTGTAGTACTGAGCTTCCCCCACCTCCCTGCCTCATGTGTATTGAATAAACCTATATTCATTTTGGTGTTACTCCAAATCAACAAGGTACTTACACAGAATTAGAATACCCTGAGATAAGCATTATGAAATAAGAGCTATGAAATAAGAACAGCTACTTTCATTCCCCCACTATGATCAAGTATACCATTTTTAAAGAGGGTTAGCTTCAAGACAGTATTTATACATCAAAAAAATTAGTCTGAAAGTTGAAAAATGAAAATTTTTCAATTAATTCTTATACAAGGACCCAAAAACTATATCTAAATTCCTCTGTGGCACTGGAATGATGAAGAGCCATTCTGGCCACCTTTCTTGCTTGCAAGATTCACAACTGAACTACGAAGCCCAGCAAAACAGCACCTACAGGCATTGAAATAAAATTAAGGAATTACCAGAAGCAGCATGCAAAACCAAACCAAACCCTTGTGTGTTACTACATTTGTAAGCATACACTTCTGAGATGTTTTATTTTTAAACTCCATGAGACAAAAATAATGACAGTAATTTTTTCTTTAAGAGCCAATGTAACCTGTCACATTGTTTTGATCTGACTTTGCTGTGACATTCAATTTTTATTACTTAGTTAACTAGATCTGTTAGAGATCTTTTTTTTTTTTTTTTTTTAATAAAAGTTTCAAAGAAAAACTTTTAGGACAAAAAAAGATTGAAACCTGGCACAATGTAGAAAATAGCTGGAACTCATTTTAGCTTATGTATAGAAGAAAAAAAATTATACCTTGAAATATCTTCTAGAAGGGTAGCCTGCAGAGTACCAGGAAAAGAAAGAAAGAAATGAGGGCAATACCTGCATCACTGAGACAAGCACATTTACCAGAGTGACTCACAAAACTCAGGCTGGATTCCTGCAGAGGTCTTGCAGTGAGGTCAGGCTCAAAACAGGTAGCCCATAGTCTTTAGCAATGCCACTCTAAAGATTGTGGACTGCAGAGTAGCAGAGTTTAGAGCAAAGCACAAAAATCCACAGATAAACTTATCACACAAATGTTTACCTGGCTAACTTTCTACTAATCAAGTCATGTTACACAACTGGGACTGAGGCAGAAGGTGGCTACTCAAGCCTTCTTAGTTTATCTGTGCTCTATATACATAAGTAGACTAAAGGCAGAATAATGATGAAGTCACAGAAGAAGGCAGTTACCACTCCACCAGAGAAGATTCCAGGGCTCAGCAGCTTAACTAGGATGCTGGGCTCTTAAGCAAGCCATGATATCAATTTGATGTCCTAAACCTCTTGCCCTTGCTTCAGATGGCCACGTTGTTCTGTAGCACTTTGTAGATGTTCCTTAATTCTTTCTCCTAGTAGTAGTAAGTATACAATTAATCACTCTGCAGCAACCATGGCTTAAGGTGTTCTCAACCTAACTTCAGAGCAGTACACATTTATCATACTCACAGAACTGGACTTTTTTTTATATACATAGCATTCACCAAGCCATGTGCATCAAATATGCACCATTTTCACTCTTACAGCAACAGTAGTTGATGTGGTTATCCCCTTATCTCATTTCCAACGCAACTTACTGTTGCAAGCAGAGACCTTAGAAAGGGCAGACGGACAGAAGAAAAGATACACTGAATGTGGTTCACCTGCCAATATCTGCAGTCTTTGCAGACCAATATGCATGTCCCCAGGAAGCCAAATATCAAAAGCACCTGCATCTAGATACAATTTTTTGTCATTGTAGTACCTGAAGGTCATATAAATGTCCTGTTTGTGCTTCAAGCGCAGGCACAGTGATTGATGCTCTCTTCAATCACCTCTCAGACGTGGGAGAAACGTGGAACTCCACAATAAAAGTTTGTAGGAGGATATTTTCTCAGGAGTGTTTTAAAAACTGAGATCAAATACAGCAGTTGGCTGGCATTATTAAATTTTCTTGCTGCCAAAGGCTACTGAGAGGGTAAGAAAGCAAGACCACAATGCAGGACACAAAAACGTAAATCATACAGCAAGAACTACAGTGATTGCAATATTAAAACAGTTTTAGGTTTCATGCCAAGCTTAACATTTTTAGGGTAGGTGCTATGAACCACAAGTTATGAAACAACCTGTTTCTGTGAGAACTATGGAGGGAATCTGAAAGAGAAGAACCTTTATGAAGTAACCAGTTAAGTCACCTGGCTGTGATTAACTGCTAAAATTCATCAAATGCTCTAATATTTTCTTAATATTTGTCTTCTACACTTCAATAGAACAGTCAGTTCAGTCAAGAATTTGGCACAGGACCACACAAGACATCCATTCTGTGGGTTCCACAAAGGTTTTCACTACAAGCACATGCATGAATAATTGGAAAGAGGTTTCCAATATTTACGTTCATATCAGACCATTTACGTTCATATCAGACCTGGTGTATAAAAAGATCAATCCAAGCCCAAGGTCTCAATTAAAGCCTAAGTTTTTTTGCATGCAGGAACTCGCCTTCTGCTCATCTAGAACACTGCTGTTCTTAAAAATAAAAGAAGATTCTTTTTCTACTTGCAACTAGTGCACTCAAATCTTACATATGAGTTAACATTATAAAGATGCACTTGAGACCCACCAAGAACATGCTGGTTTCATGGCTGGCTTGACTCATTGTTTCCAAGATGA